ATTGGAGAAGGGAATCAATGGCGACCTTTGCATGAGATATGCATAATCTAACCACCAATTGGTTAACTAAACAATGGGTTTACCATATGTTTTGTCAGATTATTTTGTGGACTCACTAATTGTTTTTTGTGATCAACAATTTTATACCCAATTCTTGCTATTTTGTGTCCGTTTCTCAAACATGTGTTGAAGCGTTTGTCCGACGCCGGCCTCGAATCGGCGACACATCTCCGCCGACGTCTCGTACTGTTGGTCACCAGCGATGGCACGAACTGAGTCCAGATAACAGTCCAGTGTTGGCCGAAGTGTGGGCACCGGTAGTGATGGCAACGACTCTTCGTTGGCGAATGTCTTCTCTTTCGCCGACTTGAATAGACTTTCCTTTAGACTCATTGTTATTACTGTCGATGACTTTGGTCTACGGTTTTGATGGCAACTGATTTGGTCGCAGATTTGGTGTATATTTCCTGCGGACTAATACACAGATAATAATGAAGTGACAAATATTTACATTAATATTTGAGGCAAAGGGAGAGAAAGGGAGGGATAGGGAGAGAGAAAGTGCTCTCAATATGTAATCTCAAGAGTATATGAAATGAAAATAATAACAAATAAATACATGTTTTCATTGATTTCTGGCCTCAAAAAAGGCGAGCGATAAATGATTTCTCAAATTTCTTATCATTTGATTATTTATATTAAATTACAAAATGTATTATAAACTAAATAATTGGCACAAAAATCGACACACAATTTAACGCTAAATATAATAAAATTAAAATTTAATTAACAAAATAAAAGTAAAATGAATTACAAAAGCGATACTTAATATGCATTCAATTGTAATTATAATCAAATATATTATGCAATAATAAAACCAGTATTTGATGTGAAAAATACTTTTCAATTGAAAAATAAGACAAAAAATGAATAAATTGTTACAAAATAAATGTTTTAAAGAAAATGAAAACAAAAAACTTTTGTTTACTTTTATTAGTGATGAAAGATTTGACTTTTGGGGACAGACTTTGCAATTGGTTTTGTTGTGATTATAATAATAGACTTTTTGTTAAGATTAAAGGCACAGACAAATGGTTAACTCAATTGTGTTCACTATAACGAGTGGTTTGACTAAAACTGTATTTGTATTGAAAATGTATTGAATATTGAATGAAAAGTGAGTTCACTATAAGAGAGTGTCTCTGACTGTGATTGCAATGAGTGATGCATTCAAATAACATGCAATGTATTGACTCAACACTACATTTACAGTGTATTGAACGGCACACCAGACAGAGGGCACACACCTTACCATTACATCCCATAATAGCATCTAATGTAGCATCTAATAGACTACTGTATGCATTGCTATGTATTGGTGGACCGGTTACTCATATTTGCCTAAACATTAGTACCAGAACCAGAATTTTGTACATATTTTTAAATGTTTTTTAAATTTTGTTTAAATAATTCATAATATTTACAATATTTTATGTGTTTATTGAATTTGTTTTGAATATTCATTTATATTGTACTTTGAATGACAATGAAATTTATAAAAACCCAATTATAATATTACTTTTAGAGGAATTTTCCTTATATTAATGGCATTTAAATTTTTGATTATCATTTTCAAGGAAATGATTTAATAAATAGCATTTAAATTTGGAAATTTTAAAAATAATTTTACATTTATTTTTCTAATTTAATTTATTTAGTTATTCATATAAAGTAAACGTAAAGATAATAAATATTACATAAAATATATAATCACTTGTTATGAATCATAAAATATTAATAAAATATTAATAACTCGCAAAACAATATTAAACAACAAGAAATCGCAAAATTTCAATAACCATATCATTTATATAATTCACAAATATTTACTTAAATTGATTTTTTGTGTTTTCAATCGTAACAATGAATTCTCGTCGAAACGCATATCGTATTGAAAAATATAGCGTAAAAATAAGTTTTCATAAGTAATGATGACTTTATGATTGTCACAAGTGTTGGCATTTTGTCTATCATTCAGCTATTGTGTAGTTTTGCGGCCAATACTATAACAGTAATAAAGAGTATGAAGGATAGGGCGGACAGGAATATGATGGCCACAATCAGCTTCTGTTCCCGATCTGTCCGTCTTTGCCACCAATTCTCTCGATGAGTGAATCTATTCATACAATATATTACTAGACATTAGATTACATGAT